TTAAGTACGAAACGTTCCTTTTTTCATGCACTTAAAAACAATTATGCTTTCATGTCGATTTTTGTAAAACTTTTAGAAATAGAAATAGAACGTATATTTAATTCTAAATTAATATTTATTTTACCTTTTTAGAAACTATGTCATTGACTTCTGATTTTACATCCTCAGTCATATCAAAAACTGAAACAGAACCAACTGAGGGTAAGAGTAATACAATATTCCCACCCCCCCTTTTTTTTTTGCTAAAATGCACTTTAAAGATGCTGATATAATTTTATTAGCTCACATTCTTATAAGCTCATTCTCAATCTATCTTAATGATGTTATCAGCTTTAAAATAGCATAATTATTGACTAGTTAATGTACATGTATAACTCATTCTTAATGCAGCATACCGGTATAATGTGCAATAAAATCTTATAACACTTTCTGACCAAAAAATTTTGAATATGATTTCTGCTTTATAAAGCAATTGGTACAAAAGGATCTTCTAGTTAAATCAACGATTTAGTTTAACGATCAATGTCTTTTTTTTTTATTTAGAATACAAGCGTACATCTCTAATCGGCAATAGTAATATGAAAACTAAATATTGTCTGCTGAAGTTCCTCGTTGCAGATTTTTCATATATATTTTAATTTTCCACTTTATGACAGTGAATTCAAATGTTTGGGAAAATATACAAGATTATATGTCGGGTACGTTTTGAGTTTTTTAAAACAGTTATCTTTCTTTTTCAATATACAGTGAAACCCGTCTAATCTGACATGCACTGGGAGACAAATTTTGTGTCAGAATAGACAGGATGACGGATTACATGTAGTGTTGGATTAGACGGTTTTTACTGTATTTACTTTTTTTAATATGACCAATTGATGAAATGCACTAAGCACTATATACAGGATCTAATATCATTTTGTTTGATTTGATTTATTTATTGCAATCATAATAGAGCTTGTGATTTCAAAAATCATATTTCAATGAACCGAAATCTAAATTATAAAGAAAATTGTCTCTGAAGAGAAGAAGAAAACACAAACAAACATTAAAAAACACTAACAATTAAAAAAAAAAAACTTTTCAGTTCACTCCTTTTGGTTTACATCATCCGGCTCTCTGTTAATTGGTGTTCTGCTTGGTATGCTCATTATGGGTTTAATCTGCCGACAGTACAGCAGAAGGATATACAGGTATAATGGTACAACTTTTAGATAAGAGACGTTTAATTAAATACAAGTATCACAAATAGTTAAAATAGGTTAGCATAACGCTAACACTGAAATTTCAAAAGAACATTTATGCTTTTATATCGTATGTTTCTTTACAAACAATCAAATCTGTAAAAAAATCAATGTTTCAAAATAAAAATTGGAAAAGAAATGGAATGGAAAAAATAAGCACGTATTTTTGTTCTCAGAACTATCAAAGTATGTGACTCAGTGCTGCTAGAAATTTACTTTTAGAATATCCTCACCACGAGAACAAGTATGCCATAAAATAACCAACAATCGAGATGAAGGACAAGGCAGCAAAGACAAAACATTTGTTTCAGAAAGCATCTATGAGGTATTTTTCAAAAGCATACAAAAAAGGGAACAAACTGGTTGAAAAACATATATAGCAGAATGTATTGAAAACTTGTACATAAAAAGTGGAAAAAGCTTCAGGTGACTTTTCATTAAAAAGTGAGAAAATCCACGAAATTTAAATCATTGACGATATTATTTTTTTTAATTCTAACCGTGATTTGACATTCCAGAATAACTATAAACCAAAGCTAATACACATCATAGAATTTGACGTATCTTTTTCAACTTTTAATGTGTTTCCAACTTTCCAGAAAATGTAGAAGTTCGCAGTAGAGTTAAGGTGCGCAATGGAAATATAGTTAATTTTTTGTGATTAAAAATGTATTCCTAGTCTTGATGGCGATTATTTTTAGCACATTATTTATATCGGATAATTGTAATTATGGTTAATTCATGTAATTACACATTAAAGACGATTAGATTTTATATTTAGACTTGCCACGCAATGTGGCAGTCGCTTGATTTTAGAACATTTACTTGCAGTATTGAGGTCATCTATAAATTTCACTAGGGCAAGGGCATAATCAAATTAAAAGTTTAGTTTATAAATATTTTCAACACACATTTTATATAGTTTCTGAAAAGTGCTGTGATCCTATCTAGATTCTGTGATTTCATTGTTAAAATAATATTTGACAGAATGTATTTTTTGCTGGTCAGCGGCATGAAATAGTGATATTATTAAATTATTAAATTAAATAAATTACAAAACAGCATGATGTAGTAAGTTTTGATGTAGTTTGATGGCTTTTACGACAAAACGCTTTGCTAAATTTTATGGATGCCACTTTCCCATGAAATATGTAGATAACATACTATTTAAGCTCAAAATTTATTTAAAATTACAAATCCGGTGAGAGGAAAACAGTCCTTTTAAACATCAAAGGTGTGTCCTAGTGCCAGGGAAGAGTTAGCTACCAATGTTAGCTTACACACTCACCATGATCGGATGAATTTAGAATTCCACAATCAATTCAGTTTAAAATCAAAGTACTCAGAAGTACAGAGAGCCGGGCTCATTTACAGAGTAGAATGGATTTCTTACATGAAGCACGTTATATTCTGATGAAAAAATTATTTTAACTATCAATATAAATGATAAGACACCGACAGTGAGTTTTTCAATCCTAATACCACGGTCCGATTTTGTCAGAATCAGAATTAATCTGGTACAGCAGCTGAATGTAAACAAACAGGGCAGTCTGGTTCCCTCTCCTGCTTTACCTCGTATGTGTAGAAAACTACGGTAACGCTGATTATCAAAAATCCTTACGCTAATGAACTATGTTCTTTGACTTATGAAGTTTTCAAAGTCATTACTACTAATGTTTATCTTATATAGATAAAACTTCGTTTTATTTTTTGTTGCTTTATTTAGCGTTTGTATTATCTCAAAAGCCGTTGAGAGTAAGAACTATATTTTTGCACGTAACTTTAAAATGGCGACTATTGGGTTAACATCCTGCCTTGAACAGGATCACATAAGCCGGCAATTGCTCCTTGAGCAAGAAGCCCGGCTAAAAATCACCTCATTTTTTGCATGAAAGAATAATTCAGCATTTGACTTCATGAAAGATAAAGCCTGTTGACAATTAAGGTCATGGAATCAGTTTTAGAATTCGTGAAAAATTGAACTTAAATAGGGCCGTTCATATCCTTAAGCTTTCCTCTCAAATTATTGAATTTTAGAAAGCCCCGCCCCTATCCCCCCTCCCCCCGGTTCCGACGCCTATATGATGGCAGGTGTTGTTTATCCTTTAAAAAATAATCTACGATGAATAAGAATAAAGCAAATATTCATATTCAAATATTCAAAAAGTCATTGCAATTAAGCACTGATATTTTGGAAATTATCCAATTTGCTCCTACAGCTATTTGTTATATTCTATAAACATATATAAAAAAGTTTTACATCCGCAGGATCACGGCAATGAAAAAAATATGCATCGAAGCTTGGACGAAGTTCAAAATCAGCAAGCGGATATCTATATGGTGATGACTGGGCCCAATACCAGATGTCTCCAGACAAACAGTGAAACTTGCCAAGAGAACACCGAAGCCATGTACATTACGATGACCTAAATTCTAACATTTCAAAGATATTTTAGGAATACGAAATGTTGTGCATCAAAGTGCCCAAGGGAAAGTTGTTTATGCATGATTTAGAAATGGAACATGATGCATGTTACATGTATGCAGGCAAAATTGGCGATTTCTATAATTCATCGATCCATGGAATATCTAATAAGTGTAGATTAAATGATTTTTGAAATGAAATTATATTTACACATTTACACTGTTTTGAAATGGATCAATGAACATTACTTCAGAGTATTTCGTCGGTGTATTTTACATGTATTTACATGTAAATATCAATTTGAAAAATTAATTGATTAATCATAACCTTTATACATGGTTTAAAACTTAGCTTAGGTCCATCATGTATTACAGTTTAATTCCGTTTAATCCATAATAATTAATTATTATAAAAATAGATGCGTCGAATTGGGATCATAAGTATAAGCATTTAAGTTTGTATCGAATGTTTCAGATTACATGTATTTCCTTTTAATCCGGAAAAAAAGCAAATGTAAAAATGTATGATGTAATTTTACGATGTAATTGTTTCTTCGACAAGCAGATTATTTCTGTATTTATATCATACATCATGATAGCAACCATTGACATTACAAACACGTCTTGACAAACAATTGATACGTATGTTTTATGCTAAAATTTGCATATTACGCAAGAATGATAAGTCTTCGTATCTAAAATGATTATGAAAAAAAAATTATTAATTACAAAAAAACAGTACACTCGAGTTTTTAATTTATTATAAGCATTTACGATGGCAAGTATGCAAGCAAACAATCGATGCAGGTTACTGACATACAAGTTGATGTGTCAGGAGCTTCAAAAGCCTATTTTAATTCAACATTTCGTAAAGTTGGTGTATTTATTTTGTCAATAAATGTTACTTATCATTGGGTAACTTTGTCTACGCTTTTTTACTAGTTGTCTTTTTTAAAATAATGAATTTAAATACAAAATGTTCTGTTATCTTATGAATACCAAAGGTTCAAAACAGAATGAAACCATTAAACAAATGAAACTTCTTTTAGGTACCGGGTCCCAGTTGTTGAGGTTCCGTTGTAGATATCATAATATACATGCACACAGTTGTTCAAATCTTTATACAACATTGACCCACGATAACCTAAAGCCAGACATTTTGAAATCATTGACCTCTTTTTCTTAGTACCCAAGGAACTTGTGACTATTTTTGCCTTGCCATTTGTTATTATCAACATAATTTTGTAAAAGAGAAAAACCCAATATATTCTAATTGTACAACCAAGTTCTCTGGAAATAGGCATGGAAAAGAAGCTTTAGATTATCAATTTTAAAAATATAAAAAAAAATGTAGACCAGATCCTCCATCATTTTTTTTTTTTTGGAAATGCTATAGATACATGTGTCAATGGTGCATCTAATTATAAACAGACCGTTTTGGAAATTGGTAGGATATCTTTTACACAAATAAACGTCTGCAGATTTTCCCGTTTTTCACGATCATGCCAGGGAGCACACAACTAGTGTGACTGGTAGTGAGAAGATACCCCTCCATGGCACCTGATCCAACCTCTGATATTTAAATTTGAAAACTATTCGTTATCTCCATATTTTATTCAATCAGTATTATAAATATCAGTTGTATATTCTAGTTTTGATAACAATATTACGTACAAAGAACATGCAATGACCAGAAGGCCCTAAAATGGGGGAATCATTTTCCTTTTTTGTCATTGGTAATTTGCAATACTTATTTTGCTAAAAAGACTATAAAGACATGTACTCTGAAGTATATATAAAAATTTTTTATTGAGTTTCTTATTGACAATATCTATGTGGTATTGGAGACTAGGCCTTCCAACAATCTACTGGAATTCCCATGGGTACCGATTTCGCCTTATTATTAACAGAACTATTTTTTAAAACTCATATGAAGCTTCAAAATCTTATACGTGAAAAGAATAAACAATAGGCGTGACCCTCAACGCGGCATTTAAAGCTCTACTGACATCATAAAATAGCCGAGAGTGTAAACAAATAGCCGCCATATGTCATCGATAGACGCCATATTAGTTCGTGTTCTATTGTTACTTTCTAACTATGTATACACCCAAATCATCGTTACGCACCAATGCATTTGTCCAGTGACCAAGTACACCGTGTACCTCGAAGTGCCGGTGACTGTAAATAGCGGTAACAAACCTATCGCGAATTTTGCAATAGGTAAAGTTGCAAAAAGACCAGAACACATCGTTATAGCATCCAATATAAGAGAGTTGCAGTAAATATATACACAAAACACACAAGCACAACAAATAAGAGTGCTCACTTCTGAACGTGACCGACACCGCATGGTCATGCATGCAAACTCTAGGTCAATGAAACTTTTGTTTACAGTCAAGCGTTTCAAAGCATTGATCGGGGAGCAGTAATTATTTGTAAAATGAAAGAAGAAATCCAATATTTGCATGAAAAACGTACTTGTTAATAAACTTCACAAGGAAACGAGGTATAATTCCCCATATTTAAAAAAAAACAACATATTCCTGGATTGCATATGAACAGTTAAAACATAAATGGGTTAGGCCTGTAGACCTGAAAAGGGGGGGGGGTATAGGGGTATACATTCTCACTGATGGCTAAAAATGCAGCCATTTAAATGATTTTACAAAGGTTTAATATTTTTTCAATTAATAATTTTGATACTCTAACCATTCATTTCTTTATTTCTAATCTAGAATGTATAGGTGTGCCAAGAACAAAAAAAATGATAACATTTCTTAATTTTTTCTCACACATATGCCTCATTCATAGAAGTTATGACTGTTTAGGAAGAATTACCATTTTGAAAGGAAAATTGATTATTTGCACATATTCAGTAGGTAGTATGGAAAATTATATGTGCAATTAACCCTGCTCCTAAAGATCTTTGATGAGTCAAGTCTTCATAGGAATTTTTCCTGAATGTTAGAATATAGTTTTATTCCAGTAATTAAAAAACAAGTTAATGAATAAAATTTATTTTATTCATTCTTTTCTTTTCTCTCTATCTTTTTTACAGAAGTAGAAAAGTATCAAAGAATCAAACAATGTGTCTTGTTTGGCAATGAAAAATATTCCCAGCCATAAATGATGCTCGCAATATTTCATAGAAATTTTTTTATAGGTACATAAACAATTCCATATAAATTGTAAATTGATTATTATTAAAGTGTTAGGTACATGTAACTGTCAAAAATTGAAAATTGTCCACTAAAATTAATAAAATTGTGATACTGTCGGTTCATAAAAATTATTCACAATTCAATTCCAAAAGTTGAAAACAGAAACAAAATAAAATTTTCATGCACATTTGTTTACAAATTGATTTCATATACATATACATGTATAAACAAGAAAACATTGATGTGACCATCAATTGTCGCCCGGGAAATATCTAAAGTAAACAATGAAAATGAGTCTTGATCATCAAACAGCTCCTATATGTGTGAAAAGGAATGCGTCTAATTGATGGAGACGAAAGTGGAGAATATTTTGAAAACTTAAAGTCGGATAAAAATCAAACAAAAACGATACCATTTTAAACTTCATCAATTCCTCAAGTAAATTTTGGCTGCATAAAATATGAATTGAAGTTAGACACATGCATCACCTATATTCAAAAATGTATTAATTTGCAATTTTAGAATATAAAACACAAACTGTGCAGAGTACGTTTTTATGCGAGAAGTAAAATTCGATGTTCTAAAAAAGGGACTTGTCGTTTTTTCGATAGTATATGATAAGTAACTTCATATATTAAATATGTAAAACATATATATTTTTACAGATTCACTTCATGGAAGTAAATATATTATATGTCTCGTAATTTATAAAGGGAAAGAACACTCTGATTAATAATATTTTCAATGGTTAGAAAACTTTTAATTCTAAATAACTACTCCCATCCCAATCCCCATACACCGACACTTAAACTTATATGTATAGAGCAGCCCGGTCCTCCAGGCTACAATAATTTCAAACCATTGAAAATATAAGATTTTTCATATGTTACCAAAATTTAAACAAGGAATACATATATACATATATATTTCAATGGTTCTGACAAATTGAAAGTTATTAAAAATGTAATATACATGTATTAATGAAAATAAAAGTACTATATATAAATTTTAAAAGTAAAAAGATCCTATGAGAAATAAAGCACATGTATTATGAAATTTAACATTTACTGGTACTTTCCCTGTAAAAGTGACATTGAATAATTAAGCTTTATTTGTTGTTTTCTACTGTACATATGTCTAAATTTTCCAAATTTGCATGTTATGCCTAAAATTCATTATTTATAACTTTACAATAAACCTTCAAAGTTGACTGAAACACAATTTTGTCCGTTAAAGCGTTGATTTTTGCATGAATTTTGGCCTAGAAGTCCTTCAGGGCAGGCCTGCCCCTAAATAAAATTGTGATATTTTGATAGGTTATGATGTAAGGTATGATTTAAGATAGGATTTTTTTTAGGGGCACCCCTGCCCTAGGGTCGAAATTCCCAAAAAACCCACAAAAAATAAGGAAACCGGATTTTGAAAATCTGCTTTAAATTTCGAGCTGTTGTTTTTATAGACAGACTAGCTCAGTTGATATATAAGTTGGTTTTACTCTGTGAAATGCTTCTTTTTAAAGTCGCGGGCTCGAATCCACCTGGCACCACACTTTTAAAGTTTTAAATTTCGCCTTTTCAAAGACAATTTGATTTTTTTTAATAGACTTGTGTATTTTCCTTCAATTATCTATCGTTTATGTATGCCCATTCTTGATACAAGAAAAACTAAAAAGATGTCAAATCGTAACAATCAAATGTACAGTTGTCAGTCAGGCGGAACATGCCTCAGTACAAGCACACTTTCCCCGAGGACAAGAGTAACTCACTCTGTGTTATTTGATACAGATATTCTTGACAGCATTGAGCAGCGTGGAATTCCAATTGTATATATTCCTTAGAATTTAATCACATTGATTTTGGCTAAATATATCAGTAACTGCACTCCCTTGGATTTCATTTAGGCCTTTATAATTTGCACACATTAATGATATTTTTATTATATCCACGGATAAATAGCCTAGACATAAAGAATAGAATTTCGGAGACAGTAGACATTACCATTATGCACAATGAGAAGTAAAGACAAATATCAATTATTACATTTGGAGAAAACAAATTCAGAAAATCAATGAAAAGGTTTCTTCTACCTCTACTCACTGAAATAAAGATTTAGGAAAAAACAAATTGTTAAATGTATTCGGCCTAATGTCATTAATCGGAACGGAAATCGACAAGCTTCTTGTAGAGAAAAAAACCAAGCCCTTCTTATAGGTCAGATCCCTATTTATAATGAAGTGATCCTTTCTAAACATTACAAAGGTTACTAAATTGAAATAACTCAAAATAATTAAAATGTATATTGCATAAAATTTAATACCTGCAATATATGTGCACTTTAATTGACTTCTTTTTATACACAATCCACTGCTTGGTTTTCTGTTTCTTTGTTACTGCTGGTAACCCTTCTGCACGGCAACCTAATTCCTAAAATTGCACAGTTGTGTGATACCATATAAAATGTATGAAATTACTGTATTTTTTATTTTGTCCTTGATTTATATTCATATCACTGCATTGATTTTACATGAGACTTGAAAACTTTAGTCTTGCTTCTGAATAAATTTTTTTCCAAATATAATATGCCCAATATGAAGACAAACTTTTATCAAAAATTAATGCAGAAAATATTGCAATAAATGAGAGGTTTTCTTTTCTTAAAAATGTAGAGAAATCTATTCATGACAAGCATTACTGGTAAAACATACTATGTACTGAACTTGCATTCTGTAGAATTGTCTTGCTGATCCTTATGCAAGATCAATAAATTTGGCACCAATGGTAAACTGATCCCATGATACCCCAAAATGAAGGACCAGAAGTTGCAGCAGGATTGCAACAGCATTTCTCTCTCCATAAAATTGTGTAGACATTCATTTTCCTACATGACCCTCCTGCAACAAAAATGAAATGGTAAATGTGGAATTCTGTTAAGGTAAGTCACTCCTGAAATTTGTTAAATCAAGGATTTTTTGAGAAGTATATTTTGGATAAGTACTCATAAAGTGTAACTCAAAATCGCAAAGAAAATAGGGGGTCAGTGTGCATCCTACTGATCTACGGTACATTTAAGTTGACCTTTTTGCACTTAAATTTCATCTCTTTGGTTAATTACTTTAACCCTTATTATATTTGATCAGATGTAAGCATGGCAATAAATATAATCTTATTTTACGTAAAATAGTTTGAATAATATTTATCATTAAACAAATCTAGCAAATTAATGCACGTAAATTATTGTGTGACCTTTGCACTAAAAAAAATAACATATTTGGGGTATTAAAAAACTTAGTAGGCAATAAAATTTTTTTCTTATATCAAACTTTTTACGACTTAAGTGCTGATCAGTCACAAGTATCGAGTAGTTTAAAATAATGAAAGAAAAAGGTGGGTCAGTGATGTTAATTTTGAAATATTTGTCAAAATATGTGATTTTCAGGTAAAAAATGGTGTAAATTTGATCTTGACTTCTTTAATATATTTTCATTTTTTGGAAAATTTTGTTGAGGGAAGGTTTAAAACTTAGTCTAAAAATATTAATTAAGACCTTTATAAAATATTTTTAGCAATATCAAAACGGAAAATATTCTCCGAGTAAAAGTATGTGAGGCTAAATTTCCGTTTCATTAAATTTTATAAATGTGCAGATTTGCAGAATTTTCTGCTAAATATCCTTCCACCAAAAGAAATAGTCCCTCATAAATCTTGCTTCTTTGTAGATTTTTGAGCAGTTTTTTCCTTGAATGTTAAAAAATTTACATTGTAGAATTTAAATATGTTATAAAAATTGAATTTTAATAAGTAGTTTTGAAGTAAAAGCTTCTGCGTGAACTTTTCTAAAAAGCTGACGAGTGACTTACCTTAAGTAATACATGAAAAACTGTATATTTATATTTTTTTTATTATTTCTTATATTCAATTATGCTTCTCTCTTTGTAAGGCTTAAAATTTCTTTTTTTTTCAAAGCTTCAAAAAGACATTATTGATAAATTTTATTATTTTCACTGCCTCCTTATAATTTTGATGGTTTATACTGTAGCATGTCATTTTTTCTTTACTATTCATTAACAAATCCTTTTTTTAAAATCATGAATTACACTACCTATTAATCATTTCTTTAAAGTAATTTACTTCATTATAGCAATGCAATGAATATGTTAATGAAATGTAGGATTGAAGTTATCCTCAAAACATCTTACTCTGAATGTTCTTTTCATTATTAAACATGTTAAACTTTAGAAATGAGCTTCAAACTGGTATGCAATACATGTACTTACATATGTACTGTGCAGGTAAATTAATACTTTACTCCTGCACCATTTTGTCTGCCTCAACAACGAAAAGCTGAGTATTGGTCCACCTCACTCTTTGAAACATGCTCCTTTTAAGCAGGTCCAATATTTCCCTCTCTCCAACAATAAATCATCTATCTGAAAGGGTATCCACCTCCATCTTGTCATATTCATCAGTATTCCTTGAAAGAAAATATACAAGAGAAAATATTCAAATTGTTTAAGTTTTAAATCTTTCATGTTACATGCTACAATGGCAATCTGTAAATCAAGACAAACAAAAAATACCAGTGTAATTTACATGAATATTTAAGGGTACAGATCACTGCATCCAGTTCCTTAGAGTTTGAGACATTTTAATCATATCAAAAGACAGTAAAATTTTGAAATTACACCACTGTATAGTAAATTGCATACTAATGTAGTAATAGCATAAATTTAGGGAATCACTTTTTAGCTTGTTGGGTATGCCAGGACATCAACAATATTAGAAATGTGCATATAATTTGCATACAGTGTTGTCTAGACTAATAGATTTAAATCACATGAATCCTCTCTCTCAATTTCAAAAGTCCCTGTCCACTGAGGTTAGACACAAATGAGGCCTTCTTAGCTGCTGATCTTTAATTTAGCGAAATTTTCATTCCAGGAGAATTATCAAGAAATCAACTCACATAACTCTCAAAGAAATATCACAGAGAAAACAAATAGAAATGGAAATAGAGTCATAATGTTTGTGACATTGTATACCATCATTTTATATGAATTTTATTGTGAGGTAAAAATGAATGTAGCATATCTTTCCTACCTTTGTTTTACTCTATTTACAGCAGATGCTGTTTTTATAGTTATAAAAACTACTAAATTTGTTACTAATTCTTCATTATAGTGTGTCGCCCACTTCGCGAAGTGGTTAGAGCATCTGCTCTAGAGTCGTGAACTAAGGAGTCAATCCTTAAGTGGCGGGTTCGAACCCCACTGTAGGACGTGGATACCGGTCCTTTGGATGAGACCGTATAAACTGAGGTCCTGTATCGCAGTAGGTGCTGCATGAAAAAGATCCCTCCCTGCTCAATAGACCTAGGACAAAATTTGCAACTCTCCACCAGCAAGTGGTGTCATCTCCATATGAGTAAAAATTTTCAAGACGGACGTTAAAAAATATACAATCAATCAATCAATCATTAAATCAATCAATCAGCGTGTGCCATTCACAAACCTTGATATATCTTTCCACATCTTATATTCATCGCCCCCCAGCCGACCGTCTCTTCTTCATCACTTTCACCATTGTCATCATCCTTATAACCAGAAGATCCAAATATAGCATCTCGTTCATGATCTCATTTATTTGATTAGTATCCTGTGTGTTTAAAAGATAATGACAGCTTGATATTACTGCAATATTCATATAAGACAAATCAAATAATTATTCTGATTTCTTCAATCATAAAAAAACTGACAAACAAATCCCAAAACTAATTTTGTGACAATGGTAAAATGGATTTGGTTGGGCCATAACTGAATGCAAATACAGCATGTGTAAATATTATTATAAGCAGCTGGTCAAGTCTGCAAAGCACCTATCTCACTTGCATTAAAGGGAATTATAAATGATTTAATCAAAAAAGATAAATGAATATTACTTGCTTGGAGATAAGCAGTGCACACATGCTTTAATACTTTTCATTTTTGCATTCTAGTTACTACTTACATGTTTATGATGTTGTGCTCCAGGTGCTCGGTTTCTTCATCGTCACAATAACTTGCATTGTTCGAAATATCGATGTTCATACTGCTGACACTCTAAAGCAATATAAAACGATTTAATTTTACAATTCGCCAACAACTGTACTTATCTATTGTCACTTTTATTCGTGAACAGCTAAAATAATAATTGCTCCCCCGTGTTTACACATGTGCTTTTGGATCTACTTTCATTTTCACTCCCGTCTTTCCTTTGCGCATGGGCAAGACATAACACGGTCAAATCGTGCTGAGTGCAGACGTGTCGTCGGTCGGTCAGCTGAGGTCCTGTCACATGCAAACGTTTTAGTTCGTAATTTATTTTTTAGGTGCTTTTGCATTTATGCTCGTTTATCTTACCTTCAGCTTCGTCTTGGGTATTCACAACCAGGAACTTCAGCTTTTTAGTGCACGTGGACTGCAGCTGCACAAGTACCAACTTCTGTGACTATGTAACTGCGTGTTATCAGCGTTGCTCAACACCAAAGATGCTTTCAAAAGCATTTGTTTTATCTCAGAATTTGAGATACTTCGGCCTTTTTATTTTATTGAATAAAAATTTTACAAATAGGCCTTGGCGAATATCCTATTCGAATGAAACCGACTGACTAAATCAGTCGTGCGTGACCACACATTTGGGTGATACCTGGTAAGCAGATAGTAGGGTTTCCGAAAACTAATATGGCTGACTCCGATTTGGCATTTAAAAGACTTCAGTAGAGCTTTAAATATATCGTCGACACATTGTATTCCATTCTTATGTCGATACGATAGATCCCTTTGAGCTTACGATAAAGGATACAACAATGTCCTACTCATCTGTTTCATGTTTAAATACCTAACTAGAAAAGGCTGTTAATGTTCATCTAAAAACCTAGCTTTATGACAGGCATGATGAAGATCACAAGTGGTCTAGTTTAAAGTCATCATTTAGGAAGATCCGTGGTCGAATCTATGATCTTGTCAGTAATGCAAATACAGTCTATCATAAGACAAATACCGACCGACATTTTTATACTAATTGTTAGAGCATTATCAACAGAATAAATTACTTACTGATTTTTTCACGAAGAAAGTACGATGAGTGTGACGGGTCGGCGGGAGATGCTCACTCTTCAATGGCACTTATCCAGCTTCTTACGTTATGGAGGATCGTGTTTGCTTCAATACTGATATGTATTGTTTAAAGGACTTTAAAGCTGGAATTCTGATTGTTATATAGAGAATAATACATACCCTTTTCTATATCACATCCTTCGGCCCTCTGGCTGATATTGGTGTTTCGGGCTGATACAGGATGTGATGTGGAAAAGGGTATGTATTATTATATTTATTACATACTTAGTAATAAAATACTGCATACATTAAGTTGAAAAGAAAATAAGTAAATAATCATGCATGGACTTCTAACATACATGTATATATGGTCTATTGTCTCATACGATTCGGGATTGTTTCTACTTCTATTTCAATGCACTCGATCCGTAATTTGAAAATAATCTATTACATGTATTTGTAAATTAAGATTAACTTTATTTTCAAAAAGATAAAATTAAGAGAATATGAACCCACCGAAAATTGTGTATGATCACAAGTACTGTTTTTGTGGTTTAATTTACTAAGGGTGTGATATTGACGTCACAATACACGTATCAGCCCTGCAGGGCTGATATGGATTTGCGTGGCTGATATAGGTTATCAGCCCTGCAGGGCTGATACGGATCAATTTCACGCCCCTAGTATCCACAAAACCAGTACTTGTGATCATACACAATGTTTTGGTGGGTTCATATTCTCTTAATTTTAACTTTTTGAAAATTATAAGGATAATATAATTTACAAATAATAGATTATTTTCAAATTACGGATCGAGTGTATTGAAATAGAAGTAAAAACAAACCCAAACCCTATGAGAGAATAAACCATGTACATGTATGTAAGAAGTCCGTGCATGATTATTAACTTATTTTCTTCTCAACGTAATGTGTGCTGTATTTTATTACCAAGTATGTAATAAACATAATAAAACATACCCCTTTCCCACATCACATCCTGTATCAGTCCTCGACCAATATCAGGACTCGGGCCTTCAGCCCTATGGCTGATATTGGTGTCTCGGGCTCATACAGGATGTGATATGGAAAAGAGTATGCATTATTCTCTATATATTATATATCTGTAAAGCTGACTCTAAACGCCATAACGTTACGTAGGTGGGCTGTTAGTTTAAGCTGTACGTACTCGGCACTTTGGGTCGTTGAGTAGAGTGAAATCTTTTTTTCACTACTTCTAAAAAAAGGAGCTCGTTTACAAGATCTCATCTGAAGAAACGTGTGACACTTAGTTTTTATTTATTTATTTATTTATTTTTTTTTTTTGCTTTTAACTTACATTCACGTATACACTGTAAAGCGATAAGGTGCTATGATAATTTACATGCAAATACAATCTCTATATCTGTATTGATTCTACTTTGATATCATACTTCATTTAAAAGTTCACCTCAAAACTTCTTATAAATAATTCCAAATTCAATTCATGTACTTTTTGTTATTATATGCTAAAACCCTCTTGCAAAAACTGCATTTTTTGGAAAAAATTGCTATCTACAATATTCACATGTACATTTATAAATTATAAACAAAAATAGCTTTTTTTATTTCATAGGCGAATAAGAGAATATTGAAATATGTTATACATCAATTTTGTTTTTTATATGGTTATATTTTGTGTGAATTTAAATATTACGTGTATTTACAGTCTTAAAACTCTACAACTGGTTTTGATAGGTGAGAGAAGACCTTATAATATTTAGCAGAATTACAGATTTTTGAAATTGTTTCTCTATAATTAAGTATATCATAGTTTATATAAACATAATATAAAACATATGAGGTAACTTTTAAGAAACATCATGACAAATTGGAAAAAAACCCCAAATTTCCTAAGTATTTGGGTAGACATTAAGATCAGTAGGAATAAAAGAAAGAAGTTACCAGACATCAGCTGTAAAAATGATCAGTGAGTGTATTTAAGAAAACGTTTTTATCAATGATTCATCTTTTTATCTAGTACGCATTTTAATGCCAATACATCATGACAATTCAGATGAATGGTTTAGAACGGAAGAAGGCTTTGGAAGTTGATGCTATAATATATGTCAACGATTGTGATTACCACCAAATACTTATACATTATTTTCTACACACATTGACTATTTTTAAGTGCGTATCTATGAGTCATTTCTAGACAATGCCTTTATTAGTTAAATCTAGTACAGTATAAAATTTCTCTTCAATGGAAGGACTCAGTTTAAATCAATGTGAGTACAATTTAAACTTTTTGTTCTAACTCTTTCTGTTTTCACTTTAATTATAACATTAAATTCAATTAAGGAAATTGATAAACTACATCAACTTAAATATTTGACCTCAAAAATGAATTATTTTTTTAAAAAAAATTAAGCCATACTTTTTACAGTTGAATCTACTATATACATGAGACGAAATATTTAAATATATATCGCGTAATAATACTTTAAAGACATCAGAATGAATACATGAAGCTTCATCAGGACATAGACTTAATATAGCGTTGGTTTATTTGATAACCTAATTGTTAAATGATCCTGATATCAAAAATCGAAATTGTTGTAATCAGGAATCATAATTCATGTTAGGATTTGTCAAAAATCATACTTATGTCTCAGGTAAATTGTTTATGGCATAAACATAGATGACAAATGAATTTATTTCAAATAGTTCACAGAGAAATATACATGTAGCAGTATTCACACACACAAAAAAAAATAATTCTGTAAAACAAAAGAAGCAAGTAGAAAAGTAATTTCTCGTATGAGTTGTTATGTTTTGAGTTTTAAATATATTTCATCTGTATGAAGAAAGGTTTTGTTTTGTATTTTCAAGTGACAGACTGTATTAAGAAAACTGAACTGTGCGTGGACTGGATAAGCCAATGCCAGGATGGTACATGTGACTGTTTTAATATAGAACTTCCTCATATACATGAATTAGTTGCTTAATTTTTTATCTAAGAAGAGAGTGAAACACAAAATATGATTTTTTTTAAATTTTCATTTCAGGAAGTAAACATCACAAATTTTTGACAAAGAGGGACGCCTCAGACGTAATTAAATTAGATGTTCAAAACGTTTCTACAGAACATGATATGCTTCCAGCAAGATTTCGAGGTATTTTTTTTATCTTTAACGTGAATAAACAAGAAACAGTTCTATGTTTGAGGAAAAGAATCTATATAACAGGACAATTACAAATAAATGTGCGTAATTTTGTTACTTGAACATTCGTTTCCAGATTTCATTCTTATAACGTTTGTAGGTTTTAATTGCCAATTTACTCGTACAAAAGACATTCTGCTATTCAAAATATTTGAACAGCATATTCTGATTCTTGAAAGCTTTGGATTG